ACAATCAAACAGAAATAAATAGATTGTTTTTTGCGTATGTCAACCCTTTGTTAGAGTAAGCGGTAATGCTCTAGAGGTAGGCAGAAGGCTAATTACTGGTTATATAAAATTTTTCAGGGTAAATATTCTTTTGTTAAAGTTGAGAGGACTCCGAAAAGACAAAGAAGTGAGTGATGGGCTTTTGTAGTCAGCTACTGTGATTAAAGGGGACTTGTCACAGCGGGAATTGTAATCTGTGCTAGGAAATGATATGCTCTGAAAACAGAGGAGAGGCAGGATGATGGGGACAAAAAAATTCCGACATGGAGAAAAGACAGCAAATTAAATAACAAATAAAAGAAGACTTCGTTAGCAGTTTGCTGAAAAGCAGTTTAAAATAGACCTGGCACCATATATATATTTTTTTTCAGGTTAAAACAGGACTCCATTTGTACTGATTGAATTTACTTTCAATGAACTGACAGCTATGCATTTTTTTTTATAATAAGCACACCCCCCAGAGTAAGGTAATCTAAATCAAATGCAATGTTTACTGGTTATTTTTAGCAGATCACCTATTGTAGTTATTTTTTAAATGAGAGCACATGTGTTTTAGAACTCGGATGCCTTGTGCTAGGAGAATTTTCGTGTGTGCTGAAAATAGATGCTTCATACAGATGGATAGAGTCCCATAACAGATGAATGTGATGGAGACAAGTAAAGAAGAGAACATTAGATCTGCAGCACCAAATTGGCTTTCCCAAGCTGTTGGATGAATGGTAGATATTACCATTACTGTTCTTTATGGAAGTCTGGAGGCTTTCAACTGTTCTTACTCATGTCTCTTGAAAAATGAAAGTAGTGGAACGGAAAGGGGAGACAGCGGGCAGAGACGGTAATGTTTGTATAATATGACCATTTACGGAAAACAATGCCCTGAACATATACACTATAGTGTTGGAAGAGTCCTGTTAACTATGAGTCAAAAAGAGCAGAGATTATAGCTGAAAGGCCTTGATATCAAGTCATAATAATGCCCTCTATACTCTATATCACAACTATACTCTTGGAAAATAAACTAAATAATATGTCTACCTGCTTAAGGATTTTTTTTCACCTTGACATTGTTTGGTACACCAGGCCACCAAGTTATGAAAGACTCTTTGGTCATTGGTATTCCAGTGTTTTGGGAAAAAAGGATGAGATTTTATGTTGCAGAGATTCCAGACCCATCTTATCAAGGTATTGTTAGAGTCCAGAAGGTTCATGAAGCCCCTTGCCCAACCCAATCCATGTAAGTGCGAGTGCCGGCCTCAGTCAATGCTGCTACACTGGCCATGCCCCCTGGTGCATTTCACCCCGACCATCGGGGCTTAGTCATAGAGGCCCAGTGGGCAGACAAAACACATCAGAGGTGTGGTCAGTGGAGCAGCATTGGCTGAATGTTACCTGGGGATGACATTAAATCTACAACCAAGTTAAGAAATGTTTAGTGTATCTCTCTTGAATACATTATCCATGCTAATGTGCCAGGAAGAAGGTAGCATGTGATGTATGTACAGTATATCTGTCTGAAGTTCTATTGTTTCCTTGCTTTTACTGCAAAGAACCTTAAAAGACACAAAGAAAAATAGTCACTGACCCAGAACAACATAAGAAGAGGATATCTGACTTTTCTGGGATGCAATATTTGTTTAGTGACTCAACATTTCAAGAACCTAGACCTGGGGAAGTACTAAAGCACTGAAGCCCATGGAAACTAGCATTTTCCATGGGAGATCAGGAATGGCTCCCTCCATATTTATCTCACAGCAGATTCACTATAAGGTAAACTTGTACTTTGTCCACATAGGCCAAAATAACAGGTTCAGTTTAGCTTAGCCATCCAGGCAGCACATATTTACCTACCTCTGGCACCCCCCACCATTCAGCTGTCAGGAGCAAAGAAACATCCTGTGAAAGCTATGATCCACTGGAGCCATTGCGTACGTAGGGCTATGGATTTCCCAAGTGACAGCATTGATTGGCCCGGTGCTGTCACATGAAATACATTACTTGCTCCTCTATACCCATACGTTTAAAGCATTTCCTTTAGCTCCCTTCACTGAATAGATTGTTGCGGAGCAAAGTAAAGTAAGTAAATGGTGGGAATGGATGGAATGATGAAAACTGTTTTTTTTTTTTTTTAGTCCGCGAACGTGCGAAAAACCCGTAAGTGTTCACAAAAAACGTGCAAGTGCAAAACACAACACAAAAAAGTGCACTTAGGGGTGTGCTTTGTCCTTCCCCCGAAGGGGATGGACCTCTACCCTGATCCCCCGGGGCACGAAGCTCCTGACAGGGACAAGGTTCCCATTTGGTCCACCTAGCCAAAAGGCCTGGCGGACCACTGTTCCTTGTGGCCAGCCAAAGTCAGCCACTCAGTACTTGGTCAGGGGGCTCTCCCGAAGAGAAAACCCCCTAGGGACAGGGGGTTCACAAAAAACGTGCAAGTGCAAAACACCACACAAAAAAGTGCACTTAGGGGTGTGCTTTGTCCTTCCCCAGAAGGGGATGGACCTCTACCCTGATCCCCCGGGGCACGAAGCTCCTGACAGGGACAAGGTTCCCATTTGGTCCACCTAGCCAAAAGGCCTGGCGGACCACTGTTCCTTGTGGCCAGCCAAAGTCAGCCACTCAGTACTTGGTCAGGGGGCTCTCCCGAAGAGAAAACCCCCTAGGGACAGGGGGTTCACAAAAAACGTGCAAGTGCAAAACACCACACAAAAAAGTGCACTTAGGGGTGTGCTTTGTCCTTCCCCAGAAGGGGATGGACCTCTACCCTGATCCCCCGGGGCACGAAGCTCCTGACAGGGACAAGGTTCCCATTTGGTCCACCTAGCCAAAAGGCCTGGCGGACCACTGTTCCTTGTGGCCAGCCGAAGTCAGCCACTCAGTACTTGGTCAGGGGGCTCTCCCGAAGAGAAAACCCCCCCTAGGGACAGGGGAGGAAGGAACCAAAAGGCCACACATCCTCCCCCTAGACTTCAGGGTAAGCCCGAGGACCCACACCCTCCATCCTGTGACTAATAAAACACACACAAAAAGTGGAAAGTGACAAACATGGGAGAAAATAAATTAAATAAATAAAGTGGTCGTGCAGATTGTGCACTGACCAGGCCCTGAGGCCCATAGCAAAAATTGCCCAGAACTTAGCCAAAAGGCCCGGTCCTAAAGGCGCAGTGCAAGAAAAGTGTTTGAACACAGTGACCATGTGCCTTTTCACACGCTGGGGTCCCACACCCAAGTGTTACCAAGAGCACCCCTGAGGCGACCACTCAGGGGGCAATGGTTCGCGGACTTTCTGCCTCCCCGGCCCCTGGCCAGACAAGGTAGATCTGTTCAAATCAGGAGGAACTGGGCCCCTCCGGTTTTCCAGGGGGAATTACTCCCGGGCCCCAGCAGCCTGTGGGCGCCTCGGTTTCTGTTCCAGCCTGCATTAACCATCAGGACCCCCATCATACCAGCAGGGGTACTATACAACCAATCATCCCCGCAAAGCTAGAATGATGGGGAGCACCCCTGCTGGACACTGATAAGAACAGATACTACACTTGATCTTAGCCAAAAGGCCGAGAAGCGAACGATGAAAACTTGTTGCTTTATCTGTCTGTAACCCTTTTTGTTATGAACTGCTACTGTGCCTAAGCTCATAAAGTAAAGTCTTTTATGTCCCCAACAAACCTGCTGAGTGATACATAAAAGTGTGAGACATAACGCCATATGCAAATATGCAAAAAAAAAAAAATCCCAAGTTACTTTTTGTACCTTTTTGAAATAGTAAGGAAACATTAATTTGCTGCTGCACTCCTTTCTATGTTTTTTTATTATTATTTGAAAATCGCTACTGATTATTTGTTGTGAAGATCCCTGTCACTTCGTCAGTACTACGTACTACATACGTGTTATTCTTGTTATTGCCATGTAACTGATAAAGTGTATTGATAAAAGATCTGATGAGTCAAGAAATAGGCAGTAAATGAACAACTGTGGTTAGAACAACATATGACTCAGGTTTCCAAATATACCTGGATGGAATGCAACAGGATGTTGTATGGCAATAAAATAAAGCCATATTTTCAACTGTATGCTTTTTTCCTACGGTGTCAGTTGTCAATGTGATATTTATGTCAGAGCACCTAGATTCACCTTTCATTTTATAGAAACGATTGATGGAATTCTGAAGGTCACCAGGAAATTTGACTTTGAGTTGTTTTAAACAGAGTAATCACCTGAGATGCTACATTTGAAATGTTTGTTTAAAATATATGTAAACCCTCACTTTGTAAAACAACCCATTCATTTTAAAATAGAAATGAAAGGGAAAATATTTGTGTTTAAATATGAAAAACATTATTAATACTTTTTTCCCTTTTTTTTATAAGTGATCACATGCCCTCTGTTCTTGCATAGAGAACTGGGGGAAAAGAAACAGCATCACACTGATCTTTCCAGTGAAGGTTGTGCTTGGGAAAGGAAGGGAGGCTGGTTTACCAGCAGAAGTCTGATCACAGGAGCACAGCTAGAGCATTGACCACGCTGTGCTCCCAGGCCTAGTGTAGTCAGTTTTTAAGAGGAAAGCAGAGTGACTGGCAGGAACACCAGGGATTTCACACAAAGGAATACAATACAAAGGGAATCAAATATTTTTTCACACAAGTACATGGTACAGCAGGCACATATCAGGAATATGAAATGTTGGGTTTTCCTATTCTTTAACCACTTCAATACTGGGCACTTCCTGCCGGGTCCAATTTTCCACTTTCAGTGCTGTCACACTTTGAATGACAATTGTGCGGTCATGCAACACTGTACCCATATGAAATTATTTTATTTCAAACAGATAGAGCTTTCTTTTGGTGGTATTTAATCACCACTTGGTTTTTATTTTCTGATAAACAAACAAAAAAAATGCTGAAGATTTTGAAAAAGAAAACCCTTTTTCATTTCTACAAATAATTCATTTTTCTTCTTCACTGATGTGTGCTGATGAGGCTGCACTGATGGGCAATGATGGGGCTGCACTGATAAGCAATGTGCCTTCTCACAGGAAAGCCGGTTATTAGCTTTCCTTCCCTCAGACAGTGACAACGCTGAGGAAAGGAAATGCTGATACTTACATGTGATCAATGGCATTTGTTTACATGTGATCAGCTGTGATTGCACACAGCTGATCACATGGTAAAGAGCCAACATCATTGGGTCTTTATCTTGATTGGTGATGTGCCTTATCTGAGGGACACAGCTCAACCCCGATCGCCGCACTGTACACCCAACGGGAAGCGGTTAAGTAGAAATGACAAGTATATATATATATATATATATATATATATATATATATATAATACCTCTGTTCACAAGCTTAATTCGTTTCACGACTCTGGTGGTGAACCGAACGAATAGCAACTTTTCCCATAGGGTTCAGTGTAAATCAGGTTAATCCATTCTGACCCCTACGAACATGGTTGCAAACCGGTTTAATGACAGGGTAGCTTTAACAAAAAAGCAAACAAATATGCATACTGAAGTATGCAGTAAACTATATTCCTAGGTGTGTGCTCTTTGTTTTTTTCTCCAGTTTTAATGAATCCACCCCAATGGGCCTTACTTATCAACTTGTGCTCAGTAAGTAGAGTTATTTGCCCACAGTCACCAGTGAGATTCAAACTTTCAGGTGGGACTAAGGGCTTATATTGGTCTGTTCTGTGTCTTACTGGTTAAAGACTTGAATGTGCTCCCCTTCTTTCTGGAGGATTCGAGGAAGTAGTGAGCTGGGAGAGTCAAATCAGCAGCTGATTATTTATGCAGTTCTTGGGGAAGGGTGTCCAGATGGTGGCCTGGAAAAACATAAACAGTTTTTGGCCTGGAACAGAGAGGTGCTTGTCAAGGAAGAGGAGATCCCAGCCTGAAGGGCTGCTGCCCTTCTGGGCAGTCCAGCTGTTGCTTTCTGCTGCTCACTGAGGTCCCAGCTATGCTAGCTGGGGGAGCTGAGGGACTTCTTTTTTAGGGATTCAGCTTGAAGACTTCACAGGAGAGGTGTTTGGAAGATATTGGAAGGAGGCATCCAAATATTCAAGGACATTAGTGAATACAGGCCGGTGTGAGAGATCCCAGTGACTGTGTGCTGCTGCTATCCCACTTGAATTACAGTCAGCGTTAAAGGGGACATTGTACATGCTGTCCCTGGTTACCTCAGCCAACCATTTGCTGCTGCAATGACTGTGCTCAGATTCTTTAGGAGGAAGATATAGTAAGTGTCCTCAAGTTACTACCTAACATTGCTGGAGTATCCCACAGTTACCCTTCACCCATCCAAGTTCACGTTTGCAATAAAGCATCAAAAAAGTAATACCTCTTGACCAGGGGTGGACTGACCATTTGGAAACTCGGGCACTGTCTGAGGACCCGGGGTCAGTAGGGGGCCCCATGAGATGCCCCTGGTACCTTTTTCATAGGCTTTTTTGAGTTTGGGCAAGGACACAGGGGCCCCATGAACCCCTATTGCCCGGGGGCCCCATGAGTAGTCAGTCTGCCCCTGCTCTTGACTGATCATTGAGCCAGAAGAGTGACTGTGACTGTGTGCCTGGCTGCTAGTGAACCTACTTGGAAAGAACCTTAGGACCTAAAACAGCGAGCTCTTGTGTGGGGTGAGCACTACAGAGGATAAAAGAGACAGCCTACTCACTCCATACTCTTTAAGTCCAATTAGTACATCTAGAACTAATGCCTAGATGAGTTGGATAAATTCAGTTGGGAATCACACTAAGAAAATACACTAACTTTCTACAGAAAGCAATACTGAGGACCCAGCTGGACTGCTCTGGCAGGCAGTGCAACAGTCTGCAACTTCTATGGGAATAGAAGAATGTGATATTGACAGCAACATGATATGTGGGTGACTGTTTGAAGCCCCTGGCAGTCCTTCTACCTTAGGTCATGGGTATGCAAATTTCCAGTCCTGAGGATTAGTAGCTCTAGGTCCACGTAACAGTATGTTAATGAATTTGGCTTAATTCCCAAAGCTTAAACACAAGGATAAGGGTTTTTTTCTAGCTATGTGGCTGTATGAATGGTCACATTTAAAAAAAAATAGGTGTTTTGGCTTTGGAGTAAAAAACTTACTTCAAAATTTAAAAAAAAAAAAACTGAGACTAGAACCACTGAAATGGGAAATAAGATCCATTTTTTCCATGTATGGTGCATAATACTTTAAGAAAGGGGAGTGCTGAGCAAACTCATTGAATAATCAGGTGAACTGTAATTTTTTTGATTCATTTGAATATATGCAAGCAGATTTTTATAGCCTCCGAATTATACAGTTCATGAATTATGATTGCTGGTTGCCAGAGTTGCAGAACAGAGAGATAAAAATATTCAACGGAATCAAAACTTAGCAAACCAGTGATTCTCCTGATGTTCTCATCACTAGAGAGCAGTGGAGTGGTTTTTAATTAAAGGAAAAGGATACTTTGAGAAGACACCATTATTAGCACCTCCTCTGCCTTTGCATCAAGAAACATAACATAAGACTTTGACTTTAGTAAATAGCATTTCTCTACTGCTTGTCTTGCCCAGGTCTGGTGCAGCTTTTTCTTGTTGCAATATGGAAGTTCTGCAATGCATGTGCAAACAATAGGGCAGAGTTCCTCAGTACTCCTGAGCCCACTTGTTGGGTAGGTGCAGCATGGTGCGGAGACAGAAATCACAAAAAGTCCTAGTTTGCCAGCAACGATGTATTGTAGAGCTTGTCAAACAGTATAAACAAGCCCAGCAGGAAGGCTCACCTGACCAGGGCACTTGTGATAGTTCAGAGCAGAGTAAGCAGTATGTGGATTCTTCACGGGGATCAGAGTGTGGCCTGGCCGGTCCAACCAAAAGGGGAGCTTTCGGAAGAAGACAAAGGCCCTACTCTTTCCTTGCTCTACTGGAACCTCTCCTTACCACTAGTGCTTTCTCTGACAGTGGGGTACCCTGTCCCTACAGTAGCCACTCACATAAAGCACACCAAAACCCGGGGACAGGAGCCTAATAAGACTCTGCATGACCCAAGATGGCTGCCAATGTCAACTGGATCTTGCACTTCCACCCGGATCACTGCTTCAGGGGATAGAGGAAACCATAGAGGAACCCAGTTTTTCCCGACTTTCTCCCTCAGCTGCATTGCCACCATAGTCGGGTACCACCTGCAGTGGAGAGAATGTGGACTACACCTGCCATTTAGCTTGGAAATCTAAGGTATGGAATTGTATTAGGCCTATTGCTGCAGAGCCTGGAGGGGGGATTGAGGAAGTCAGTGACTGTGTAAAAACTAAGGAATATATCTTTGCTACATGGGGACAGGAGCTTAATAAGACTCTGCATGACCCAAGATGGCGGCTGCCAATGTCAACTGGATCTACCACTTCCACCCAGATCACTGCTTCAGGGGATAGAGGAAACCATAGAGGAACCCAGTTTTTTCCCGACTTTCTCCCCCAGCTGCATTGCCACCATAGTTGGGTACCACCTGCAGTGGAGAATGTGGACTACACCTGCCATTTAGCTTGGAAATCTAAGGTATGGAATTGTATTAGGCCTATTGCTGCAGAACCTGGAGGTGGGATTGAGGAAGTCAGTGACTTTGTAAAAACTAAGGAATATATCTTTGCTACATGGGCCATTATGTAATTTAATATGATTGCAAAATAACAAGTTTGCCATCATTAATACGTTTTTATAACTGCCGTAAATGTAATTTGATAAACACAAGACACAATTTTAGATAAAATTTCCTTCTCCTCGTAAGTTGCTGTTTTCCTGTCCCAGAAATCTGCACAAAGAATAAAATGAAAATGCAAATTGGTGATGCCTTTCCCACACTGGAAGTTGCACCTTTGGAGAGATATTTGAGGAAATGGTCCACACTTGAAGAAATGCCAAGAGTGCAATTTTTCTAGTAAAACCAGTGGGATTCATTTCAAAAATTTCAATGTGTGCCATGTACTTGGCTATGAGGTCAAAAGTATGTAAGGAGCTAACATAAAGTTCAGATCTTTATTCACCATCAAATATTCCTTATAGATGTAATTTATGTTTTGACCAAGGTTCATTTTCTCAGAGAACAGGTGCAGGATCTCCCCCCTTCCAAGCCACTCCTTGTCCCCCGCTATCTACCCACCTTCCAGACCACCCCCCCCCCCTCCCCGTTTTAGAAAATACAGAACAGAGTATCATTTTGCGGCACTAAGTAATTTGTTTGGAATTGGTGAATGATAAAAATCAATAAAATAGAACCCCTGCAGCCAGAAATAATAGACCCCCCAAAACAGATTACCCCCAGCAACAATAGATCCAACCCAGCAAAAATGGATCCCCTTACAACAAAAAAAACCCTCTAAATAGATCCACCCAAGCAACAATAGACCCCCTTTAGCAACAATAGATTTGTCAGCAACCAGCAACAAAGACCCCCACAACTAAATACCCCCCAGCAACAATAGATCCAACCCAGCAACAGTAGATCTCCCCCAGTAACAATACACCCCCAGTAATATTAAACCTCCACTTTCCAGCACGCCCCAGCACTCCTTGCCTTTACATACATGTGCTGGAGGTGCTGTGTTCCCTCTGACAAAAAAGCCCTGGTTTTGACTATCGAAAAGCAATAAATCATTAGCTAAAATACAATGAACCAATTCATCAACTTACAATAGCAGTTAAGACAGATTAAATAGTGCTTAAAACTTGCAAAAGTGGCCTTTCAATCAATATTATCACCTCATGCTTGAATGCTGTAAGCTCCAAATAGCAAGTGCTAATTCATTTCGATGAACCAGGTCCAGTAGATTATATGGGGACTAATAATACATACCATATTTTTCGCTCCATAAGACGTACTTTTTTATCCAAAAAAATAATGGGGGGAAATGTCTGTGAGTCTTATGGAGTGAATGTGGATCAGGACACCACCCCCCCCCCCCCCGCCACCATGTTAGAATACCAGGCCGGCCGCTCAGCTCTTCTATGGCAGAAGATAGGCAGAAGGAGACCGATTCAG